ATAGGCAAGCATCCTTGACTGTTGCAAATTGTGCTTCTAATCTCTGTTATTATCTGTACAAAAAATGCCATTGGTGAGTGCCCTGGCCTATGTCTATATAAGCACTTCCCTTTGTACTTTATCTATTGTTGATATCTATAACCTAGTGTAATTAGTGAGAGTTTGTTCAGATCCATCTCTGTTCCCAAACTACATTACGTATTTAGTATTTACTGATCATGATTTAGTTTACCAAATGGCCAAAGCATCTTTTCCTCGATTGACAATTGCATTGCACTTCAGGAGTAGCACTTTGAGATAGGATGGGTCCCCGAAGTTAGTGCTGTGTAAATTACTTGCTACTAGCAAAAACTTGAATTGGAAATTTGGAATGTTTTCCTTGTGGGTCCAATGTCCAATGAGGTGTCAGTGCCCAGGTTGGTAAGTGTATAACTCTTCACCCAACATAGGGGATGGGAGTCCAAGAAACCTTTTCTGAGGCCAAACATCATGCATTGCAAATGCACTGCAGGAGCAAGTTTTTGCTACATGACACAAGGGAAGAACAAAAGTGCTGCGAGCATTGTCTATGTGTGAATAGTGTTGGCTTCGGTTTAATCTTTATTCTGCCGCTTGGTAGATTTCTGCTTCTGCGATGTATAGAGTCAAAAGAGTCAGTCAAGCCAAATCCTTCTCTCTCTCTCTCTCTCTCTCTCTGTGTCTTCCCCACAAAGAAAGTGAAGTAACACTAAACATTGTCCCCTCTAGATTCTTTTCTTTTTCCCTCATATTTCTCATTTCAAAAAAACACACAAAAACGTTTTCTCTCACTTCTTGAAATCAGTTGGTAGGACAATCACTCTGTTTCTTTTGTCAGGATTCTTTTGCAACATTTAATAGCTATGGGCTACAAACAAAGCATTAAATTGAAATGCCCCCACCTCCACAGTAAAAGAGAAAGAAAGCAGAAATCCTTCTCTTTAAGAAGTTGCTCTTTCCCATTGATGTTTTTCCTTCTCAGTAGAAAAAAGCAAAATCATGGCCAGACTCTCGCAAGACTCCTCAAAGAGGCACTTCCACTGGACAAAAAAGATTGGAACTGAAGATGATGAAGCTCCAACCTTCAAGCTCACTTCTTCAAACACCTCTGAGGAAGAGAAGAGGGAGAATGTCAGGACCCATGTGGCCATGTCGACACCCAGGAGGAAGCTCCCGGCCGTGGCAGTTTCCAGGCTCCGGTCTGTGCTCACTGCCTTTGGGCGGAACCGCACTGGCCAAACTCACGCTCTGGGGCCAAGAGTGGTGGGTACTCTGTTTGGCAACAGGCGCGGCCATGTTCATTTTGCATTTCAGAGAGACCCCAATTCGCCTCCGGCTTTCCTAGTTGAGCTAGCGACGCCGATTAGTGGGCTGGTTAGGGAAATGGCATCTGGGTTGGTGAGGATTGCGTTGGAGTGCGATAAACAGAAGGAAGAGGAGAAGAAGACGGTGAGATTACTGGAGGAGCCTGTGTGGAGAACTTATTGTAACGGCAAAAAGTGCGGGTTTGCAACTAGGAGGGAATGCAGCGCCAAGGAATGGAAGGTTCTGAAAGCTGTGGAGCCGATTTCAATGGGTGCAGGGGTTCTGCCAGGGGCCGGAGCAGAGGACAGCGCTGGAGATGGTGAACTCATGTACATGAGAGCTAAGTTTGAGAGAATTATTGGGTCTAGAGATTCTGAAGCTTTCTATATGATGAATCCTGACAGCAATGGAGCCCCTGAACTCAGTATCTACTTGCTTAGAGTCTAAATCTGCCATGGAAGCTCTTTCCCAAAATTTCTTGACTCTTGAGCTATGGAAATGGAGCTTAGTCCCTTTATTTTTGCCTTCAGAATTTCCTTTCTTTTTTTTTTCCCCCTTTTTTTTCTGTTTTAGCTTTTTTATGGGGGGGAAGAAAATGAAAAGCGGGTATATTGTAATCTGTGTTAGTTTTAGGTGGAGGGGGCAATACAATAGAACATGATGGGAGGTGGGGGATCATGAAGGTGTATATGTATAAATTTTTCTTCTTTAAATCCTTTATGAAGTGATGAAGCATTTGGGTCCAATCATGATGATTCTCTTAACATTTTTGTGCTTTTTATTCTTTTATGCACTAAATGGCCCCAACCAAATACAGCAGCGGGCAGAGTCTGTTATATAAAAACTAAAGCATTCTGGCATATTTGCTATTTTGCTTTCCGTCTCAGATGGGGTTTGTTTTCTGTTTCTTCTTTGAGGAAGGAGTTCTCTCTTCATTAAAGGAGAAGAAGAATTGCTCGGATCATGATTAAAATGCTTAGGTGGTGTTTTTATGTATGCAATAAGATCAATGCATGGATCAAATGATTGATGCTCCTCTTTATTCTGGTGGATTATTATGCAAATGATTGTTCATGATTTACCCCTATTCCTTCATCTGAGAAACAAACAGGTTCATCAATCATCAGCTGCAAGTTCAACACCCTTTTCACTGTTTACACATATACCTACAAAATTTCCAGCATTTGGTCTAAAAGTGGAATGTGTTTCAATCATGGTTTTTTGATGCACAGATTTTGTGTGGAATGATCCCTAGAATTTTTATTACTTAATCATAGAAGTCATCAAAAGCAAAATCCAATTACTGACACAAACACAAACATTTCTCCATTTCCCCATTTGTTTGACTGCTTTTAGCTTTGATTTCCTGCATCGAATGTACAAAGTTAGCACCTTTATCAAGTTTGTCCCTCAAAGTACACCTCACCAAGTTTAATATGCTCCAAATCAATCATCCCAAATGACCTATTTGACCTAATCTGTTCTTCTCCTTGTCTCAAGGCTTTCATACATATCTCTTAAGGCTCTGTTTGGTAAACAAATTGAAGGGGAAACTGCTGCCCACAGAAGAAGTTGCATGCATGTCCCAAAAGTTGTTGAATGGTGGTTAGTTGACAAACCCCTCCCTTTCTCGAGAAGATGTCTTCCCAGCTTAAACTCTATTATTTAAGAAAATTAATCATTTAGTTGACTAAACATCTAACATTTATCTTAAAAAGACTTCTTACCATACAAGGCCTAGAAGTAAAGAATTAAAGAAGTAAAAAGGAAAGAGGCAACTCCATCTTTGTCATTTGATGTGGATTACAGCTAAGACAAGGACAAACCCGTTGAGTTAATGGTGCAGAATTCAAGGTTATGTTTTCTTTTTCTTTTCTATTTTTTTGTTAATTATCATCTATTGTTCATCATTCTACAAATTAAAGATTCAAAAGTTCCCTGCTCTCTGCTTTAAAAAATTATGGCCACCCTGCTTTACTGCAATGCCTACTTCTCTGTAACTTTTTCGTTCTTTCTCGGCTATGTTAGGGCTGCATTCAAATTCATAATTGTGTTGTTAATTATGACTACTGTGTGTCCACAACAACTTTGCATTGAATATGGGGTGGTACAAAAGATAGATGGGGGTTGGGTAATGGTAATGAAATGGGAAAGAGTTTGGTTTTCTGTTTGTTTCCAGGGAAAATGAAATCAGGGGAAAATGTGTACGATCCTTAATGGTTGAGGCATGCCGTTGCAATTATGTGAAAAACACCCAGTTGGTTCTAGAGAGGAAACACATATGAATGTCTCAATCTAGAGTTTGCATTGTTTGAGGAGAGTGACTGAGTGATTGAGCTCCCAACTTGGCATTATGGGCATTGGAAAAGCAACCACTTTCTGCCATTTCTCTGGTAAGGTTGGAATTTGTATCATACTCCAATCTTTATTGTTGGTTGGAAAAGCACAGAAGAAGTCAAGTAAAAATTCCTCAACAACTTCTTTTAACTGCTTTCCATAACACATTGAGAAAAGTGGTTGGTTGGTTAGGCAACAGACACAGTCACACAGGCAAAGGAAAGGGAAATCAAAACTCGTTTGTAGTAATCCCTGTCTTGATTTCAGCTTATAATGATTACATTTTGAGTATACTGTAAGTGGAATCATTAATTGGCAACCTTCTTGCTCAGATATGATATTTCTAGAGGAGATGGGAATAATGTAAATTATTAGTAAATTTACAAATGGTTTTTTTATCATGTGCTTTTAGGTATAGTATATTGATTGTATTTTTCTTTTATATTTATGATTAGTGTTTATTTACTTTATCTATTAAAAATTAAAAAAAAATTGAAAAACTAAGTAATTTTAATAAAATATTATAAGAAAGTATAAAAAATATTATAATTTATGCTTTAAAAGTATAGATTTTAATTTTTTTCAATGAAAATTTATTAAAATGATGTAATTTTATAATAATTTTTCTCTTAATTTTCAAAAAATAATGTGAATAGATACTATTCTCTTTATATTTACTTTATATAAAATATATAAATATTAATTTTTTTAATTTAATTAATCGTCTAATTAAAATCATGAAATTAATAATTATTAACCAAACCTACAAAAAAAGTAGGTGAAAACACACTTCAAAACACTACGTAATTTTAATAAAATATTACAAGAAAAACTAAAATATTCTTATTCTTACTTTAAAAATAATTAAGATATTTTAATATTTTCTAATACAATTTTAGTATTTTCTAATACAATTTTATTAAAACGACATAATTTTGAAAATTTTTTATTTAATTTTTTATAATACAAGTTAATACTTACTTTTTTTAATACTATTCACCTAGTATTAGTGTTAAAATAAAAATTAATTTTTATAATTTTTTATATAAATTAATTATAAAAATATATTTATTGTATCATTAGTGAACACTTTAAAGACGTAAGTTACACAAATTCATTTATCAATTCCCATAAATAAAAATAATTTATCTTGGATTATTTTTTAATACTTTTTCTTTTTTTTGTCTCCACTATCTCAAAATATATAAATTATTAATTAAAATAAATAAAATTTATTTAAAATTTATTAAGTACAAATTATAAATATACATTTTTTAGGTACCGTGGTAAAAAAGTTTGTGCAAGGTACCGAAAGCCCATGTGTGTGGAGTTTCACCGGTGGGAGTGGAACCGTATATGGACTAATTCAGGCCAGTTTGAAAACGTTGGGGACATCTTTTTGTCCAAATAAAAGGTTTGGACCAAATCTGGAATTTATCCAAAAAATTAGGGTTTTAGTAAACCTAGTCGGTGATTAGTGTTTCACTTCTGCGGAAGCTATGGGGAAGAAGGAGAAGCGAAATAGAAAGCATATCAGTGTCTCGGAGCCAGGTACCGGAGAAGAAAAGGCCGAAGAGAATGACATAACGAACTTGACTTCGGTGGAAGTAATGGAGAAGAAAAGGAAGCGAAATAGAAAGCGTAAAAGCGTATCGGAACCAGAAGAAGAAACTATTGGTGAAGGGAATCAGGGAGACAAGAACTCAGAAGAGGAGCATGAGGATGAGAGGGAGAACGAAGAAGAAAAAGAAGAGCTCAAGAAGAAAGTTGGGAGTGGGATAATGACTACTGAATCTTTTGAGTCTCTGGGACTGTCCGAACCAACATTCAATGCTATCAAGGAGATGGGTTTTCAGCATATGACTCAGGTATCGTTGTTTGCTTTTACCTCTTAATTTTTTTTTTTTAATAGAACATTGCTCTGTAGTCAAGTTTTATCGATGAATTAGTTGTGTTTTAATGGATTTTGGACTTTAATGACTTGATATTGTATCCGAGTGAAAACCATGAATTATATAGTACAAAATTGCACTGTGGTTCCACATGGTATAGTTTAAGTTAATGTCCTAGCTAATGTTAGAGAACTAGGGGGAGATTCTGGCATGTAAATGCTGTTAGTATGTTGCGCGGGTGTAAGAGTATGTTTTATAATTTATACTCGTGTTTATTTTCGTGTTGGTAGATTATCTATGACTTGCATGTTTCTTAAAATTTGCCTCCTACTATAATTCAGATTCAAGCTAGATCAATCCCACCACTTATGATTGGAAAAGATGTTCTTGGGGCTGCAAGGACAGGTTCTGGAAAAACACTTGCTTTCCTTATCCCAGCTGTGGAGTTGTTATATAATGTTCGCTTCACTTCTCGCAATGGAGCGGGTGTTATTGTCATTTGTCCAACAAGGGAGCTGGCCATTCAGGTGAAAATTTTTTAAGTCCCTTTTCACTCTTGATGCTATTAACTAATTGCTTTTGGCTTGTTACTTTTATTTCGTTTTTTACTTTTACTCTATTCACTAATTCTGATTAGTGTTTTCTTCAAATTTGATGATATGCTCTGTAATGGCTCACTTCATAATTAATGCCACCTATGTAATTCTAAATATTTTGTTTGAGACTTTAATTCTTTTAATAATCTGATTAGTCCACCCTTATTTAGATGTTTTCTATTTCTCCTCCATTTGATCTTTGCTTCAAAATTAATCAGGTGACTGCAAAGGCTTGAATCAGAATGCTGTAATATATAGTTTCTAATTAGATGTTTTGGCATTTTATATGAAGATAGTTTATAGGTTCAAGTAGAGACATTTTGATGTGCCTATGTTATCTTTTGTAAATTAACTAAGTTTCAGGAAGAAAAATCAAATCTGGTTGCCTTTTCTAAAGATTCAGTTTGGTCACAGTGCTAGTGGTTCTTTCTGCTTATTTTATTTTGAATGTTAAAAGTAAAAAAAATATAATATAAAATAATTAGATATGATTCCTTCACATTATAAATACTTTACTTGTTCCTGATTAATTTTAAGCTTCAAATGCTTTAGACTCATGCTGTGGCAAAGGATCTTCTCAAGTACCATTCACAGACCCTTGGCTTGGTTATTGGTGGTTCAGCTAGAAGAGGAGAGGCAGAGCGAATTGTTAAGGGAGTAAACTTATTAATAGCAACCCCTGGTCGACTTCTTGATCATCTTCAGAATACCAAAGGCTTCATATACAAAAACCTGAAGGTGACAAACAAATCGACAAACAAATCACTATGCCCTTGTTTTATTACATGATCTACTAGTTATAAAAAATGTTAACTTGTTTAAACCTTTTTCCTGTTTTATATTCTTTTAAGTACAAGTCATGAATTTAAATTATTTTTATGTTTTTTTGAACTTTACCCCCTTTTGAAGTCAAATGACAACTGCCTGTCTATGTGGGTTTCCTGAGGCAATTTTGCCATGGGATATATATATATTAAAAGTCCTCACTTGGTTATATGTATTGCTACTCCATTATAAGTTGAATCAGATGATTTGTTTTATTTTTTTTTATATGGGACTTTGTGAACTTAAATTGTGAAAAAGATGTGGTATTTTCACCATTGTTTTCAATATGATGATTGGTTTTATATTTCTTCGGTTTGGGGTTAATTAATTTGTATATATTTTTTTTTACTTTCATTTTCCTTGACCCTGAAGATGATCATTGGATTAAATCTCCTAATCTTTGAATTTGATGAAACTGTGCTGAGAGTATGTTTTAAGTAAAAATAATCATGGGGAATTCTTAGTGTCATTGTTAAGTAATTAATAGTATTTAGTTTCACCTGTAACTAACTTTGATCAGTTGACCATCGTCCAGCCATACAGGCACTTCTATAGTGTTTGTGGTTATGGTGACACGGTGTATGCTAATGGGATGTCCATCCAATCTCAGCTGTTTCATGAATCTTGCCAAATCTTAAAGGCTTTCTGTTGTCTATTCTCTATTCCTACAAATGACTTAAACCACTCAGTTGAGCAATTCTTGTTGCTACTTTTAGACTGATGTAAATTCAAATTTTCAAAATTTCTTGCAACTGCAGTGCCTTATGATTGATGAAGCTGACCGGATATTGGAAGCGAATTTTGAGGATGAAATGAGGCAAATTATCAAGCTTCTACCAAAGGTGAACTTCTTGTATTGATGAATAAGTTTTCTATTCAGTAACTTCCGAGTTGCTTGCGCTGATTGAGTTTATTATATTGTGGTGCAGAATAGGCAAACTGCCCTGTTTTCAGCTACACAGACAAAGAAGGTTTGTGTTCCCCTCGTGTTTGTTGACCGTTTAACTTTTTCATTTTTTCCAGACTAAGTATATTTAGGATTCCTGTGCTATTATATTGTTACCCGGGAAATTAGAAAACCATCGTTCACGTTATTTCAGGTGTGTAATTTAGGTTTTTTTCTAATGCTAAATAATTATAGTGTTGCTGTTTAATCTGCAGGTTGAGGACCTTGCACGTTTATCATTTCAGACAACTCCTATTTATATTGATGTAGATGATGGGAGAAGGAAGGTAGACACATATTTTGAAGTTCAGTTTCTGAATACACTGTGAAGTTCACTTTGCATTATGTTTTTGTTAAACAATACTCTGGCATTGTAGGTAACTAATGAAGGGCTGCAGCAAGGCTATTGTGTTGTGCCTAGTTCCAAGAGATTTGTCCTTTTATATTCCTTTTTGAAGAGGAATCTATCAAAGAAAGTTATGGTCTTTTTCTCTTCCTGCAACTCAGTCAAATTCCATGCAGAACTTCTTCGATATATCCAGATCGATTGCTTAGATATTCATGGAAAACAAAAGCAGCAGAAGCGTACAACTACCTTCTTTGACTTCTGCAAAGCTGAAAAAGGCATCTTGCTTTGTACTGATGTTGCTGCTCGAGGTCTT